AATTTATTTTAGCAAAATATAAACAAGTTTTCTAAGAAATTATTTTTCTATTTTCAGTATATATATATATAATGACGACATGAATGATGACGATATCTTTATTAACACCAACTCCATAAATATATCAATTTATTTTATAATTAAAAATGTTTTTAAATCATTATATTCTTAATTGTTATTACATAAATTTTTGTAAGATTATAATTTAAAATTAGTGATGGATTAGCGACGGAATTGCGATGAAATAGAATTAGTGACAGAATTAGTGACAAAAACTTCTGTGACAAACAATTTAGTGACAGAATTAGTGATGAAAATTTCTGACAGAAAAAATCCGTCACTAAATATTTATTGACGATTTTCCGATGGATTCGTGACGAGCAAAAATTTCATCGTTAATCTATCGCTAATATTAGCGATGGAAAAATTCTATAGCTAATCCATCAAAAAGATTAGCAACGGAATTTCTGTCACAATTTCGGCAGAAATTAGTGACGAAATTTGTCTCCATCACAAATTTTGTTAGAAATTAGCGACGGAATTTGTTTCTGTCACAAATTTTGTCACTAATCAACTGTTTTTTTTTTTTTTAGTGTGAGTTAGTCACTAGCATTCTCTTAAGGCATTTAGTGGCATTCTTCTTCTTAGTCGGCACTCCGTCATCATTGTCAAAGCAAAGGGATTCGTTAACCCTAAGAGACCAAGAGGTAAGTCTTCAATATCAATAGCCAAAGTTGATTGCTCCAATGCTGTTCGTCCTCTTGATTACTCATTTTCTAGATTTAGGAAGGAGATAGCGGAAGAACTCTATGGTTGCGTTTGGTAGGAAGCATTAAAAATTAGGGATAGAGATTGGGATTGAGATTGGTATTGAAAAAATCTAGTAAAAGAGTACTTAGCATAAAGGATTGCTTGTTATATAGGATTACTCAAACCCATGTATATAAGATTAGAGAATACCATGGGAGGAAATGATATTCCCCAATCGCACTTCTATGGGTTTGCCTAATCCCATGCAACAAGTAATTACTTATACTAAACACTATTTGAACATTTTTTTTTTTCAACTGCAATCACAATCCTTATCTCTCATTTTCAATGCTTCCTACCAAACGGGATATATGAGTTATGAAAGGGATGGGGTTTAACTCTACAGATTCATTTTTTAATTTGATTTTGTTCAATATTTCTAGTCGGTCATTAATATTTGTTAACAACTATGGTTACTGCAAGTGTCAATTTGTGCTTTTTGTAATATGCTCTATTTTGTAGTTGATATTTATCATTGGTACATGTCCGTTGCTTTGTGAAATCTAGTTTACAAGAAGAATTATTGTTTTTTCAAGTTGATTGTAGTAAGTTGATGCTTAGTGACTTAGCAGCTGAAGTTAGACAATTCACAAAAAGAATTAGTGTATTTACAAGCTAATTGTAGTGATTTTATGCCTGGCCTTGTAACAAGTAAAGTTAGGAAATTAATAATAACAATTAATGCATTTATAAGTTTAGGGTTTTATGTAATAAGTGAAGTTGCATGCTATGGATTTTGATGTGGTATTTAGTGTACTTATCAATAACATACTAGTTATTGTGTGAAGGTTTAAGAAGATGGTCAAAAAGATGCAAGAGTTGCCAAATGGAAGGTATTGAAGGCTGAATCTTGGGAACATAACAAAGAAGAGATACGTGGAATAAAAGCAACTACAAATGTTGCTTCAAAAAAGCAGAACAAAATGGCTGATGGTGAGATTTTATGTGTTAGATTCATTACGTGTTGATAAGAAAATATCAATTGTTATATTTCAATTTGATATGTGATTTAAGTTAGTTTAGAATGTGTACAGTTTTGTGTATATAGAATTTGCACAATTTCAATTTCAATATAATGAAATATATATTATGATGAGTATATTACATGTCAATTAATTCTAATATTTTATTTTTTTTCTACCAATTTGCAAGTTTGGGAGGGACTATTCACAACTAGAATACACAAATTTACAACAGGGATCCATAGATTAACAACAAAAGTACGCCCATTTGCAAGTGGGTTAATTTAATTCAAAAGTTGAACATGATAATTTATAAGTTTGGAAGCTGCTATTGGCAACTGGAATACACAAATTTCCAACAGGGATATGTAGATTAATAAGAAACATATGTCTATTTGTAAGTGGGCTAATTTAATTCAAAAAGTTGAATATGATATTCTGCAAGTTTGGGAGCTACTATTCATGACTGGAATATTCAAATTTGCAATAAGGATATATAGATTAACAAGAGAAACATGTCTACTTGCATGTAGACTAATTTAATTCAAAAGGTTGAACATGATAATTTGCAAGTCAGGAATTACTATTCACAATTAGAATACGCGAATTTGCAACAATGATATATAAATTAACAAGATAAGCATGTCTATTTGCAAATGGGCTAATTTAATTCACAAAGTTGGACATAATTTACAAGTTTGAGAGTTACTATTCACTACTAGAATATGCCAATTTACAGCAAGGGTATGTAATTTAACAAACGAAACATGTCCATTTGCATTCATAGTTGTTAGGCAATTTCAGTATAGTAGTTGGGACAATATATAACCAAGTACCGTCATAAAATTTTTGATAAAAAAATTTACAACTAAAATTTGCAATAGAAACACGAGCTTTTACAACACAAAATCATCAATTTTCTAGACAATTAGAGTTTGCAAATTTACAACACAAATAAGGATTTTCACAATACAAAATCATCGTTTTTTTAACAACACATTGTATATTCATTATTCACAACACAAAAAACTAAAGAACCATGAGGGAGGGTGAGAGTGGGGGTGAAGCACTAGCGAAGGAATTGACAGACTCGCTAGAGAAACTTGAAGAGGAACTCCATAGTTGTTGCGCAACTTAATGGCACAAGCAATGGATTTTTTCTCAAAGTGAGTAGTCAAGACTACACGAATTGCTTGAAGCGTCAGAAATTCTCCGTATCTTAAAGACGTGTATAAAGAGGAAGATTGAATAATAGGAGCACCACAAAGCAATCGTAAGCAATAGTGATAGATTGAAAAGCTTAGGAGAACAAGGACCATGGCCGTAATGAGCTCAATACACTTCAGCGATACCGATGAAAACAGAAGGTGAAAGATGCAACAGAGCCGAATGAGGGAGTAAGCTTCAATCTAAATTTATATGGGGCAATAAGGTCTTTTCACTACATAAGTTAATTTTATTTTAACCCCAATTCCCAAGACACTACAATGAAGTTTCAAAATTATTTGGGGGTGAATGAAAATTGTGTTGCTATAGCAGTACTTTAATGAAATTTTTGCTTTCAACAATTATTTATTCATTTACTTGTCTGCAATATTATAAAAATAAGAAACACAAACAAAAAAATTCATATACAATTCAGTGGCCAAAACTAATTTAAAAAAAGTACAACGATTAATATTTTTAACATATTATGTATACTTTATTTTTTTATGTTATATATATTATCCAAAAAATTTTATATATTTATACACAATAAGGAACCATGTCCTGGCCGCCCTAATGAGTCTTCGGAATACGAAAATGGATAGTATAATTAATATTTTATGTGCTTAAAAAAACTCAAGAAAAGTCATTAAGCATAAATGAAAAGTGAGATATATCGTTAATGTTCTTATTTTTCTATTTTTTTTTTCAAGAATCAAGTTTTATTTTATGTTTTTAATGAGATTAATATTTTATACAATATATCCTGAGAAAAATAAAATTATCTAAATTTTGTCTACCAATACTATAATTTTAAATACCTAAGTGTGTGCTAAAGTAATTGGAGAAATACAGTGACATTCAAAGTCCGTTTTTAGTCCATAATAATTTCTATAAAATAAAAACACGTGCCTTTTTATTTTTTTATTTGTTTTCCAATATCTGCATTGTTATTATATTAGTAGGAGTACATACTGGTCTCAAGTAAAAAATAATTTTGGTGAAAAAGTTTAAAAAATTATTTTTCACGAAAAAAAATATTTTATATGTTCTAACCATTTATAAATTTAATTTACTATTGTGATCATCAAAGGTCTTGGAAAGCCTCTCTCTGAGACGCTCCGTGAACCTTATTACCACCGCCTCAAATTCAACTTAAACGCAACGGCTCTATTCACTTCTCCCTTCTCTCAACGTCTCTCTGTTCTCTCAACTCTCATTCTTCTTCTCGCTCGCGCATTCTGCTTCTGTTTCTTTCTTGTTTTCTCACTCTACTGTTATGGATAACAGCGAAAACACTCTCAATGCGAAAATGTAAGGCGATGATTACTCTGATTCGAAATTTATTTTTGATTTCTTTCACCTACAGATTAATCGATTTATTCTGAATATAGGCACCGATAATTTGCTTCTTCCTGGCTACCAAGTTCACAGTCTCCAGAAACTTATAAGAGATAATTGGTTGGGGCCGTTGGTGTGAACCTCACCAGAATACTAGCCTTCAAGAACAAGCCATCAATATCGAAGGATCACCCTTCTCCTACTCTTGAATGCAAATCCTCCAAGCACTTGCGAGATATTCCTTGGGTATTCCTTTTGTTCAGAATTGAAGCTTTCTAGTTATGGTTTTTTTTTGGGCATATTTTTCCAGTCCGATTGTAAAGTGGTATTGATTCTAAGGGTCAATTAAAATGATTTCAAAGGCCCAGAAGGTATTAGCTGTTCCTTGTCTCATAGACTTCTTATTAAATTTACTGTACTGGGGTAGCCATAATATTCTTTTCTAAAACCCTTAAAGCCGCCGCAGGTTTTTGGAATTACATAGACGACTCTATTTCATTAGACGATGAGGAGAAGGACCTGATTAACGGTGCTTAAGGTAAGCTTTGAGCCATTTGCTATCTGTACCGTATCTGTTGAGAATATGAAGAGATTAGTTTTGAAGTTATAGGCAATCATGTGTCTATATTTTATAAATATTTTGGGTCTTTGCTTAGGATATATATTTTTTTGCCTCCCCAGATTTATGGCTACTTACCTGATTTGTTGTGGAATTGGCTCTCCATCTTTGCCTTGACAAAATGAGTGAGTAAATTTGGATCTTTTGATTTTAAACTTACGTACTGGTGTAGCAACAATATCCTTTGCATTGCCCATAAAGACGTTGTTGTATTAGACGACGACTTTGTTTCCTATCTCACGTGAAGAGGAAGCACCTGATTACGGGTACTTAAGCCCTGTGCCCTTTGCTTTACTAGTATTGTGTCTGTTGAGAATGTGAAGAGATTAGTTTTGAAGTTAAAGGCAATCCGCTGCTACTATTCTAATGTATTTTTAATTGGGTTTTGTTAGTTTGCCTGTCCATAGTGCAGCTATGCACATTTCTGGTTCCCTCTCGATTTCAAGGCTGTCAAAATCTCCTTTTCATGAGTTATGGTGTGTGTTCTTCTTTCTTTCTTTTGTTTTTTTGCCCTTTGTTTTTTGTTTTTGCCTGAAGTTATGATATACAGGCCAAGAGAGAGGGAAAGAGGAAAACATAGAGACTCAAAGTAATTTCTTTATTCAACTGAGCTTATGTGGCAATCTACTTAACTGATGTAGTTATGGAGCATATCTTTTTTGACTGAAAGTAATTTCTTTATTTAACTGAGCTCATATTAGCACACGTGTAAGTATTTATATCTCTAACTCATGTTATTTATTAATCTCCTTGACCTTCCTAACAGATTTAGTTACTCTAACATCTAACTCAGCCACGTGTGTCCTGCTGTCATTATCATTATTATTGATGATGTCACGTATCATTTTTAGTGAGGAACATATGATGAAATATTATCTTATGCAGTTCTGGAGCATATCTTTTTTGCTAAGCACGGGTATTCTCTTAGTTTAAAATTCCGTTTGAGGCACTGTTATGCACTAAATGCAAGACACTTGAAAATTTGAATCTTGGTTCACTATTGTATAACAAGTGCATCTTTTATTGCTAAACTAACTTATAAGTTTATAGATTTGTTCTTATCTTACCAACTTGTGACTGATCTCATGAATTAAACCAAGAATTAAAACCATCAATGAATTCTTTATGAATTTGAGAGGTCTTCAAAATTTGACAAGGCTAGTCATTGTTATGATCATTTGAGAGGTCTTTAAAATCCCATTGATCAATTAGATGGGAAACAAAAGTAGGCTATACATCAGGATTAATCTTAGGCAATAGGAGGCATCATTTTTATTGAATATAGGCGATTATGACCTTGAATATTTTTGACCTAGAGGCCCACTTAGATCCTTCTTGTGAGGTTTTTTTAAAGATGGACTTAACAATATCATCTGGAAGCTCTCTAGGTCCAAGGAGTACTGGTATGAACATCCTTACGGATAAAGTGAAATTGCTTTTCATAATTTTTAATCCTTTCAAATGGCATCAATTGAGAAAGTTCTTCCTTAGCAAGATGATAGGGGATTTGAGTAATTCACTAGATCTTTCTACTAATGAAGAGCATCTCTAGTGGAGTGGAGAGCATGATCTTGACTATGTTTTCATTATCTACGTAAACATATAAAGAGCATCCTGGGTGGAATTAGGAAAATGAAGATCTAAAGAATGATTCTGTACTCTCATTTCATGGTGAAGGGTGGCCATGATAGCTTGAGGATCTTGTTCAGCTCCATCTAAACTTTCAATCTCTGGGAAGTAGTTTGATCAAAAAGCATGAAATTAAAATCTAGGGCAATGGCCAGGATAACACTGCCATTGCTGAATGTAGTGAGAAGGGTTCCTAAAAGGGCTACTCTTATAGTGGCAAGGATTTCCATCCATTAAGGGTAGGAACAAGAAGCACCACACCTATGTGTAGGTGTGTATATCCTTGCTCTATGTATGAGTCAATAATGGGTTGAGGGATCTTAAGAGTGACATACTGTTCAGTAGTAGTTGCCTGGAGACCACACCTATTTGGAGACCACACCAATTGAGATGAGAGTAATCCTTTGGTATATGGTAACAAGGAGTGGATCTAGTAACAAGAGATAGGATAGATATGGTGAAAGATCTTTGTCAATGATAAATAGAGTAATGTTTTGGTATATGAGTAATCTCAACAAGATTATCAACCTTGCTGTTAAGGGTGCAGTGAAGGGACGAAAGAATGCGGTTAAGGGTTCTTTCTTACTCGCTCTTAAGAAAATACTGAGTGCATGGGTTCTTTCTTACTCACTCTTAAGAATACTGAGTGCATTTAACACTACAACAGAATCGATCACATGCAGGTTTGAACTTTAAGAAGTCTCTACTAGTCACATAACTTATCTAATGTAGCTAATGCCAGCTGATAGATTTCCCCCAGAGAAAGTTGAGAAACTTCTCGTTGGAGTGATGCTATCATTCAATGAAATTCTAGTTGTGGTTATTTTTCAGACATTTGTGAGAAATGTCTTTGTAAATCTCTTAATCTCTTTTGTCAAGAGAACAATATTTCATTTCAAAATATTCTTACTAATGTCTTCTTAAGATGATATTAAAATCACTTAAGAATTCTCTATGAATATAGCATCAAGAAATGATCCAGAGCTCTCATATCCAAGAAGTTGCAAAAGGACACAGGGATTCATCTGAGTAAACCATTAGCTTAGAGAACTAATCATGTGAGAAACAAGTTCTACAATAACTTGCCTAAGAGTTTATTCCTGGTCTTGTCATTTGAAGAAGAAGGATCTTCAACAATAGGATTAGTACGGTATAATTTAGGAGTTGGTTCTCTTGGCTAATCAATCATAGCGATTTTTGACAAAGTCTCTTCTGTTAGAGTATCTTTAGTCATGTCATAGACGAAAGAAGGTCATACTGATTTTATTGGGGAATGAGATAGATCGTGAAGAAGCAGGAGCAGTAACAATTGCTTTTCCTGATAGCATACCAGGAGGCATTGAATATGGAGGTCATGAAGCCCAAATAGCTCTCCTTCAGTTAGAAGCCCAACAAGCCCTCCAGAGTGTTCAAGGGATTTATAGCTCGAGAATACTTATGTGGAGGAGGACATGGATCATTCTTTGGATGATAACGTGGATACATATCAAGCTTAAAGTGACATATGGAAGGCTGCCCGAAAACCACCATGGTATATAAGTCATTGGAGTATGAACATTTGGACTTTGAGAAAGATAAGAGCACATTCTACGAGACCAAAAGGAGCATTTGAAGCCAATTTCCATGTTGTTGAAGGCCCAACATAATTATATATGCATAGAGTCCATTGGAGCTATAATCTTTTAAATTGAGGCCCAAATGCATCGTGCTATGGACCATGGAAATTCCAGAACGTGATTCAACCACATTAAAGCCCAAATGGATGTCTAAAAGGCCCATTTATGCTTTTGGACGTAAATAGCAATGGAGGTTCATTTGGAAGGTGTAAGAAGATTCAAGAAGCATCAAGAGTGATATTATTGACATTAGTTAGGATTCTGTTTGTTTTCATTAGTTTCCTATTTTACAGTTTCCTATTTTCAAATAGCAGATTTGTTCATGAAGTTTAAGTTATTTCTTTTTATTTCTATGTAAGAAATGATGCCTCCCATAGCCAAATAATCATTAATGAGGCATCATCCCTAGCATTTATGTCTTAAGATACTGATTCTAGAGTGTTCTATGGTTACCTATATATAGGCTACGTTTTTGTACTTAAAAAAAGACTTAGATGAATGAGAATTGATCAACCTTATCCATGGCTAGGGTTGTAAGAGACAGGTTCCTACCTAGATCAACCATCCGTTTGTTACTTGATTCTATCGGGTCCGTTCATTCCCCTCATATCATTTCCTCTATCTATGGATAAAGGAAGGGAGAGTTCTTATTTTCAAAGAGTCCTTTGAGGTTTGATATATGAGATGTTAAGTGCTAAAGACGGTAGTGACTGAAGAATGAGGTTGGGTACTGGGAGGATGAGATTAAGTGCTAAAAGGATACACAGTCTTTTTCTTTGATGGTTTCTTGGGTTCTTTGAGATTGATAAGTAGTTCTAAAGATATTGATAAGTAGTTCTAAAGACATTGTAGTAATTAGCTTTTTGGTACCTACATATACATTTCAAAAACAAAAAGATTTTTTTCCGCAAAGATTTGATATTTATAAAATGATCTGTTAGTCCTTACCTTTTTTCTTCGCACAAATAAACACTAGATTTGAGGTTCCTAGCTCTTTGGTAGCTGCAATATAATTGATACATGATTTTTTCCCCTTACATTTCTAAAACTAACTAAAAGTTTGCTCACTTATACTAGTTCTGTACTTAATGAATTTTAAAACTTTTTAAGAGAAAAGTTAAATCTCATTATAGTAAAAATTTGATATTCATAAAATGAAATGTTGGTACATACCTTTTTTTCCACATATGAACACCAGATTTGATGTTCTTATTTTCTTGGTACCTACATATATACTAGATATAGAAATTTTCTCCCCTTATATTTCAAAAACAAACTAAAAAAGTCAAATCTTATTATCCTAAAGATTTGTTATTAGCTCTTTTTAAGAGAAAAAGTTTAAATCTCATTATCATAACGATTTGATATTCATAAAATGAAATGTTAGTACATACCTTTTTTCCACGCAATGAACAGATTTGATGTTCTTATCTTTTTGGTACCTACAATAAATTGTACTGTTTATTACTCATTTTTACTAATTGTGTACTCAATGAAGTTTAAAATTTCTTTTTCATCTGAATATAGAAAACAATTTGGGCAAAAAAATGAGTACAAAAAATAATTAATTGAAAACATTACTACACCTGAACCCAAATTCTTCGGTTATTCAGTTCATCGCTCTCAAACTAAAAAAATATAGTAAAGCATACCCTGATCAATTTCTCTCCGTTTACTGTCATGGCATCAAGAACAAAAAGCTATACATTGTTTGACACTAAAAGAGGAATCAACAAATAAAAAGTTTCATCAACACAAGTTATCAAATGACAAGAAGATCCAACTGTTTTCTCAATTGAACTATTTTCATTTTGATGTTGCTTACTTTAGAAGGCCAGTGAAAATCTGCTCGTCCCCCAAAATCACAACAGTAGATGCTACAACACTGAGCTCCCCCAAGTTGTTCTATTAAGTTGTTTTCCTTAGCGAGTAGGGACTTTATGCTGTTGTTTAGGAAGAAATGTCCACGACATTTCCTTCAAAAATAAATAAAAATTCAGGACATTCACTGGTTAAGGGAGGAACATTGAATGTTTATATATACAGTCTAAAAGATGAGAGTAATAAATCCTATCTTAGCAAGAGATACAATTATATTGGATAAATACGATTGAGCATAATAAAGCCATTTTACTAATTTAATCTCATATATATATATATATATATATAACAGAAAAGTTCGTAGCTGCACAGTGAACAGGCAAAATTAACAACCAATTGAAAATTCACCAGAACAGTACAATAGCAGAGATGAGAGTAAACCTTGGTCACTCACTGCGACAGAAAAGAAGCTCTTTTTCATAGAACATATACAAACTTAATTGAAAAATAAAATAAAGGTTCCCAAGCAAACACCCTCAATTCATATTCCCAGCAGCTACTTTACAGATAAGCAAAGGGTCCAGGGCTTGCCTTGAGCACCAGTAATCTGGTCATTCCTCATCGCATGAGACAGCTAATGGAACAGAGTCATCAAAGTAATTCCAAAAACACTAGACCGTCTTAAAGGGCAACGCGAAGGATATTACTGCTATCCCAGCGCAGTCTTCTATGAGATAA